ATGACGAAATGCAGCCGATTTAACCATTAAAGTGCATTTATTAAGGAAAAGTTCAACTGTGACACACCTTTGCTATGATTTTGAGCAAACAAATAATTGTTTTTAATTGTTAATCCTGTTAAATTCTTGTTAAAGTCCTCCTGTGCATGCTCCCGCGGCCACTTTTTTGGCAGCCAATCTATTTTTGGCACAACACCGGCCCACATTTCCGGGTTGTCAGCAGTGACGCATAATAGATGCGACTTATACGGCAAAGTGACTTATTTATGTTTGTTCCACTTCATTAGACATTTTTAGACTGATGCGACTTATACGGTGGTGCGACGTGAACGACAAAACAAACTGTAAATGAAATTGATTAAAAAAAGATTAAAAACCAAACCATTAGACTGAGCAGTTTTAAAAACCCGCATAGGAAGATTCGACTTCTCAAAGTTTGCTTCTCTATAAAATGAAATTTGATTTTCTTCTAGTCTTGAGTTATTGAATTTCCTGGTTCTTACATTTTTCTCCTAAAAGGGGAGATTCTGGAGTAGAAAATGAGATTACCGGTAGATAAAGTGAGACTGAAGGAGGTTACATTAACACAACTTAATCTCATCGGGAAAAGTTAGTAAGCCGAAAAAGTTTTTATACAATTAAATTAATGTTTTTTTAAATGAAAAACAAAAACAAAAAAAAAATCTAATTACATTTAGAAGATAGAAGATTATTTTTTATTAACGTTTATTAGAAAATTTATCAAGCTTCAGAAAAAACTGAATTTAATTCCTCAAAATGTAGTATTAATGATCCTAAAACAATAAAATGATAATTTACAATATATTCTTTACAGTTGAGATTTGAGGATTGGTAGAATAAACAAAATAAGCCTGGATTAGAACATGTGCGAGCTCTTTATTTGATCCTCATGAGGTCAATTTAAAATGAAACAAAGATGGTACACAATCTGTTAGCACTCAGAGTGTGTGTTGGGGATGACTCTCAGCTATCACTACACCAAACACTAGTTGATTAGTTGTAAAAGTGGCTGAGTGGCAGCCATTTTCATGTTTGCTAAGATCAATGAGTTTCAATCAGGATGACTCCAAACATCATCAACTGAAGATGAACATCCAAAGATTAGTGGGCGTTGTGTTAAAATCAGTTCGGTGTTTCATATGATATTTTGCTAATAGACAAACGCACACAAAGGCAAGTATAGGATCGCCCACCTCCATAAAAGATGGGCATTAAAAAAAACTTAAAAAGGGCCTAAACGAGTCTTAAAATAAAAGATGCATGTGCAGAGGACTTCAGCTCCTGATTACCTCCTGATTAATGCTGACGTCCCTGCAGCTCACCGTGCTGATAGCAGCATTATGCAGGAAAGATTATCACTTGTGACTGGCGCTGTAGTCAGACGGAAAGTAGGACGGATGTAGAGCAACCCCGAGTGTAAACATTTTCCGCATCCGTTGTAAAGATTTGCATTTTAATAAGATAATGAACTGTAACAGACCTCCAAGAACACACAGGAGAGTTAAACCAAAACTCTGTGAAAGTCTTGGAGTCACTCAGTCAGAGTCGGGATCTGGAGCCAGGAAAGAGTCTCTAGAGAAATCTGAAACTGGTCTTAAAATGGTCCCAGTCCAACTTAGCTGAGTTTGAATATTCCAGCAACAAAATACGTTAAAAAAACCATCTAAAATATAAACCAGCCAAACAAGAGGGATTGTTCTTGAAATGACCTGGAAGTTATCGCTGCTACTAATGTGGCACAACAAAGTTTAAGAAAGAGGTCTCAGAACTTGCTCAATGGAGATATTTCAATATTTCACTTTCCTCATTAAATGTAAACTAGAAAACCTTTGAAAACTTTTCATCTGAATAACAGAAATACGAATTGTTGAAATTTGTAAGAAGCGAAAGATTTATTCAGCATGACGCCAAATCACAAGAAGGCGTCAGTTACAGCTCTTTGTTTCAACATATTAAACTTGAATCATAAACTCTTGGAGTCAATTAAGCCACAAGGCTCAGTTTTAGTACCCATTCTTTTTACAATTTTCAGTAATCCCTCACTACTTCGCAGTTTGTTTATCGCAGACTTGCTCTATTGTGGTTTTTCAAAATAAAATTGGACATGACACACAACTGGCTGATTGATGGATCAGCCGCACAAACCGCATGGAAATTTTATTATTTTAAATTATTTAGCACCTGCTACACATTTGTGCAGCCCGCACTGCAATATAAGCTGCTTCCTGCCGCAGCTGATCAGCTGTTCTCGTGCAGAGCGGAGAAGTGGGCGTGGCCAAGAGTGCTTGCAGGTGGCTGAGAGCAGCAGAGGCAGGGAGCTGAAATCACGACATTCTGTGCTCTTTTAGAGCGTTGAGAGTTTAGAATCATTGTGTAGAATATTGCAAGGGTGTGGGAAGGGTTTAACACACATTTATATATATATATATATATATATATATATATATATATATATATATAT